GTTCCCCACAGACGCCGCCATGACCGCTCTCTCCGGAATCTCTCCGCGCTCTGAAATGGCGCCCGGCTCTGAGGGGCCAGAACTACATCCAGAGAAAGTAGTCCCTGAGACACCGCGGAGGATACGGAGCTCCAGGCGGGAAGAAACTTGAATCACACAGCGCAGTGTACAGAACGATCACCCCGATAACGTCTTCAGCCCACTGCCCGGGGAAAACAATCCACCAACACCGCGGACTGATTGATTCGTATCTAGAACGATGCAAAATATCCCTCCGCCCCGTGCAATGCGACAAACAGCAGAGACTGCGCATGCGCGGAGGAGAGGCGTGGGCGGCCATGTTTGTTGTGGGCACAGAGAAATCTCACCCAGCATGCTGATAATAGGAAATACATGGACGTTTTATTACTTATATCCGAAGTATTGACATGTCAATGGTCTCCCGATCAGAACTGCGCCGTGCTGTGTGTGTGCGCTCGCAAGCGTTTTATGTGTGTCTTGTGTGTGTGCTATGTATGTATGTGTGTGTGTGTGTGTGTGTGTGTGTGTGTGCTATGTATGTGTGTGTCCTGTGTGTGCGCTATGTGCTCCCGGTGTGAAATATATTCATGTTTTCACCGTGCAATGTCTGGGTGAATGTGTCAGGGCAGTGTATCCGGATTTACTAATGAACAGGACATTGCAGACCTGGGTGTGTACAGGGACTGAGGACTATGGCTGCCACCTGTCCAGGAGTCACCGGGACAGTCCGGGCTTCGAATGCTGTGTCCGGGATTCATGGCGGCTGAAACCCGGACACAGCCAAAAAAGTGCAATCAAAATTAAGATAGGGAGATAGGGGCTACTGGCCCCCCGCTGAAATTAGGCCAAACGGTGATATATTTACATATTCATATGTAAATAGTGCCCCCAATTCATAAGCCGTTACTCATCCATATGTAAATATTGTGGTTCATTGTTGTAGACGTGTGCACCAGGAAAAAATTTGTTTTGATTCGGATTTTGCGTTATTTTGTTGTTCGGGATTCGGACGAAATTTCGTTGCAGCAAAATTACATTAGAAATTTTTTTTATTTGATTTAACCCTTTAGTATATGGGTAGTACAAGTACACCTTACTCATTCACGGG